CCCCCACCCGGCTCAGAGCCCACCCCTCGGCGGGGCCGACCCTGAGGGCAGCCGGCTGGCAGCAGACAAGCGAGGGAGGCGAGCAAGCGCGGCACCGCGAGCGGGCTGCGGGCAGCCGGGGACGGCAAACTTTGCTGCTCGCTGCGCTTCCCCGGTCCGGCTCCTTCTCCGCGCCTCCACGTCGCCCCCCGCACACCTCTCCCCACCCTCCCAGCCGTCCCCCGCTCTTCCTCGCCGCCTCGACTCTGCTCGGGGGCGGGGGGGGGGACTTCGAAGCGCCGGATCGCAGCCGCCCTGCCTACTCCCCTGCTGGGGATTTCAGGTCAGTGCCCGGAACACCTTTCCCGGGGGAGGCTGCGGGCGGGCGCGCCCCGGGCTGCAGTCAGCCCCCTTCCCGAGGGCCCCCACTCGCCGCGGGTGTCTCCTCCGACTCTCTCGCGTACCCCGCGAAGCTTTCGCCTTCGCGCTTCCCTTTGGCTGCCTTGCTCGCTTTCGTTTTTATCTCACGGCTCTTAAGTTATGAAAAATGCAACCAACCTAAGCGGCCCCGCGTGGGCAGCGGGAACGGAGGGGGAGGCGCGGGGGGCCTGCTGCCTCCCGGGGGGCTGCGAGGAGAGCGGGGAGTTCGCGGAGTGGAAGTTTGCAGGCTGTGTGTGTCTGCGCGGGAGCGCGGTCGCCGCGGAGCGCCGCGAGTCGGGCGGTGGGGGGGGGGCGCGGGCTGGAAGCTGGGAAGCTCGGCTCGGCGTTCGCTCACGAGCAGGAAGGGGAGGGCGGCGGGTTCCCGTCTGTTTTTTTTCCGACTCAGGGAAGAACTGTAAAAACCCCCAGCCGCCACCGCCGCCTCGCCTCGCCTCTCTAGGGGCCGGCCGTTCCTCCAAGTGGAACGACGGCGTGTGCGTGCGCGAGGGTGTGTGGCTGGCGCCCGGGGCCGAGCCGAGCTCGACCTGCCGCTGCCGCCGCCGCAGCGCAACTCGGGAGGGGAGTCCCGGGTTTTTTCTTGGCTTGCCCTAAAGCGCGAATCACGTGGATTTAACAACGACAACAAAAAACCCAAAAAAACTACTTGGAAACCGAGCAGAGCGAGGGGGTTCCGAGTCGGTCCGCCCGCCCGCCGGGTCAGACGCTTTCTTTTGTAAGTGTTCTTTTTAGATTATAATCTGCGCCCCCCTCCCTCCTCCACCCGACCCCCACTCGGCGTTGCGGCTTCGGTTTTAAGTTAGTAGCCCCTGGGGGTGGGGGCAGCGTGTGCGGGGGTGGCAGCGAGAAGGGCGGGCGGAGAGGAGGGGGGGCGCGCCCGGGGCCCTGAGCTGGGCAGCGGGTAGTCTGGTGGGAAGCTCTGTTGGGCGTGTGCGTGTCTGCGGCCAGAGGAAGTTGATTCCACTCAGAGGTGCAGGGGGGCGTGCGGCGCTGAGGCTGAGGGAGAAGAGAACTTGCGCACCGTGGCGCGATCCTCGGCCGAGGCACAGAGGGCGAGGCGCCGACGCGCTGCGGTCCCCGGTCTCTGAGCGGGCTGGCGGCTTCGCTGCAGAGAGACTCCACCAACTCAGGGGCTCCGGGCGGCGGCGACGTGCGCCTGCTGTTTACGGAGGGAGCCCTGGGGCGCCGAGTGCGGAGTGGGGCGACTCCCGGCACGCACGGTCCTAGCGGGCTTCCCGCCGCTTGCACACTCGAGTGGGCACGTTCCCGGGTCCCGGAGACGACAGAGTCTGGCCCCGTGTAGGCCGAGGCCGGGCGAGGCTTAATTTGCTGTTAATGAATCTTTTCCAGAAAGTCCGCGATCTCCAGCTAGAGGCTGTGAGTGCCCGCGCGCGGGGGCGCGCGTCGCCGACGTCTGGAGGGTGGGGGTTGGGGAATGAAGAGGGAGGAAGGAAGGAAGAGAAGGAAGGTTGTGTGTATTTAAAAACAAACCTTAAAAAGAAACCAGCGCGCTTCAAAAAGGTATCGCACAGCCTCACTGCGTCTAGACTAGACAGCTCCGGGTTTTAGCTTTTTTTTGGAAAGGACGTTAGGGGAGGGGTAATGGTATTTGGTTCTAGAGGTAGCCTCTTGGAGAGAAATCCTTAAAATGGCCTGGGAGTAAAAATGAGGAGGAAATGGCCCACCCCAGAAGGTGGTGGGTGGTGAGCGCAGACAGACTTGGGTATTTCTGGCCATCTGACACTTCCTGTGGCACTGGAAACGGACACCGCGGGCCGAAATCAATCCCTACGAGGTGTTGGATTCGGTTTTGCCAACAGAATTGCTTGTGTGGATGGCATTTTAATTGTCGGCCTCGTAGACTCCTTTACATGGGCACTTGGGTAATATGCTTCGCTTCTCGACCCTTCCCAGTCCACCCCCGACCTGTTATCTGGTCTGGGCTTTGCAGTGTTGGTTCTCGTGTTTATTTTGGGCACGATTTCACCGCGTAGAGTAAGGGGGGGAGATAGCGATGATTAATTAATATGTTGTCCAGGTTTAATTCGAGGCTGGCCTTAGTGTGCGGGTATACGCCGCCACACACCCGGATTGCTTGGGGTGTTTGGGGGAGCGCACGGGGTTCGGGCGCCAGGCGCTCGGTGGGCAGGTCGGGGTTGGGGCTCTGCCGTCCCCAGCGCTGTCCTTTGAGGCGCTGTCACCAGTAGGTGACTGAGAGTTAATTAGGAAGTGTTCTCCGGATCAATGGGCCGCACAGCTCATTAACGATTCTCTCCAGCCCTTTGCAGGGCAGGCCGGGCCTCCGCCTCCCACACAGGCCGGGGCCCCGCGGCCGCGGCTGCGGAGAGCGGCGCTGGGAAGTGGGGAGGGGCCGGGACGCGAGGGGCGGCGGGGAGGCGAGTGTAACTTCGCGGGGCGGCGCGTTGCGTGCGGCGCCGCGAGGCCCGCGCAGCCCGCTCTTTCTTCCTGTTCGCAGTGGCCTCGACTGTGTCTTTAACTCGCTCCCGCTCGCGTCGCTGCCTGGCTGCTCCTCCCTCGCCTATCTCTTGTTCTCTAAGCACGACGCCTGTGCTCCCCGCCCAGTTTGGGATTAGACAAGATAAAAATAGGACTGCCCAGCGCGCAGAGAGCTGTGACTGTGCCCTGGCAGCCGGGCTGGCGGGAGCGCGGGGGGCCGGGGCCGGGGAGGACTGGCCGTGCGCTTTGGGCAGCCAGCGCCCGTAAGCCCCTCCCCACCCCCGCAGGCGCCGTCACGCTCCCTGGGTTCTGTCCGCTGTGAACCGTGCGGGCCGGGAGACCTGGGCAGGGTCTCCGCGATCTCGCGGGTGTTGTTGGTGTGCCTGTGATAGATCGGTCTAGACAAGCATGTAGGCTCCCTCCCGGCTGAAGGACCTGGTGGGGGGGGGGGTTGGCGACGGTAGCCGACTCCCGTGAGCAGCGAGTGAGCCAGCTAGCCAGCGGGCCTTGCGAGCAGGGTGGATGGAAGGCTGCTGGGGTTTCCTTTAAAGATGGTGGAGGTAATGTAATAGGGAGGGGGGCCAAAAAAGCCTAGTAGAAATTCCTGGAGGCCACGTAGCCCCCAGAGGGGAGGGGTTGGGAGTCTGGGCCTAGGGTTTTTCTTTCTCTTCTGTGTGTGCACGCTCATATCCTGGTGCTTCGGGCTCGATTCTTCGACAAACCAGAGCCAGCTGCGTTGATCTAGTTTGACCCGGTACTTCTCAGTGGGGGAGCCGGGAACACACACAGTGGACACCCTTACTTTAGGAACTGAGTTTGGGAAACACAGATGTAGACCTCAGTGTTCCCAGAGAGAATTCATGCGGGCATGGTAGTACTGGAAGGTCGGCTCAGAGCTGTAGTGTGGGGTGGGGTTCCTGACAGAGACTGCTGCTGGAGAGAGCTAAGGGGCCCTTGAGTTGTCTGCATAAATAGACCTACTTTAAACCATGAACTTGTGGGGAGAATCAGAAGAAACGTGCAGGGAGACAGACTCCAAACGAGCTGGACACTGATATGTACCAGATCAATGATTTGTATACACATACGTGGGGTCAGTATTGGATTGGTCTAAAAATTTAATACAACTTTGCCGACATTTGTCTAGTTCTTTACAGAGTTTGCAATTGGTGGATGAGTTACAGATCAGAGATGCACACTCTGTACAGATATAATCATTACTAACACTACTCTGTCCCCTCCCCGCTCCTTTTTCTTTCTTGTAGGGTTTGTAGTCTAAGCGATCCTGTAATTACATTTAAATTTTTGTCTAACTGCAAACCTATACTGGTCTGGCCTGGGAATGAGCCACATAGACAAAGCAAGAGGGATGCAAGTAGTAGAGACAGGAATGCTTGGATTAAGATGTGTGCCTGAATGACGTGTGCTGAAACAAATCAAGACACTTGGGCTTCGGTGCCCACATGGAACAAGAGCTACTAAGAGATAAAGAACTGGCCAAGAGGAATGTAAACATGGATATGCAAATACAGAGACATATATCGATATTCTAGGGGAAAATCCCAGACTTTGTAGAGCTGGAAACGGGCAGAATTTCTGTAAGTGCGTTCCAGAGACAAAAGCCCATTTAAAGGTGTGAAGAGGGTCACTTGGAAACACAAAAAGCATTCATATGCATACATCAATGCTTAGATACACAGGCTGAATGACAAAAACTCCACCATGCCTGAGAAGACTTGCCTGTGGAGTGAGACCGAAGCAGGGCACCGAAGTGTAGGCCACACAACCACATTGGTACACTTACTCAAAGGGAAATAATGTATCTTCGGCCAGAAGCGAACTGAGGGCAAAGCAGCCTCGCCAAGGGTGGATGGTGCTCAGTTGCTAGGATTGTACTTCTGGTTACAGTCTCTTCCCTTCTGGAGTGTGGGAGGGGGGATGTTTTGAGCATGTAGGAGGACTTCTAAGAGATTTTGAGTTCTTGACCTTGAGTGGATGGAAGAAGAGGACTGGGTTTCCACTCATCTTGAGAAGTGCATGATACACTGCTTGAGGTCCTGTTTGCTAAGGTGGCACAGGGCTTAGTGGACTGGGACAGAACCGAACAAGTGTGGCTTCTGGGAGGAATAAAGAGGAGTTATGCTTTCATTTTGGTATGCTCTATTTTTTTTTCTTTCTGGAAATCATGCAGGGAAGGCCTGTGTAGGGTGGATTAGCAGGCGCCTCTGTGACCCAGACGCGCACGTAAACTCTGGCTAGGGTTTGGTTTGCCCGCGGCGTCGATTTGCCGCGGTCCCTCTTTGTCTGAGCCCAGCCGGGAATTCCAGCTTTTATTGGGAAGACCGCACTCGGGTGGAGCCCGCGCCGGGCGGGGCAGGGCTGGGCCGCGGGCTGGGCGGGAGGCTCGCAGGCCGCAGTACCGCTCGAACCCCAGGACGGCCACAGCGT